ATCATGAGAGAGAGAGAGAGAGAGAGAGAGAGAGAGAGAAGGGAACCTGAAATATAAATATCTTTTAAGATGTGGTCAGCATCTCTATACTTTGATCCTCAAACCAACAATGTTGTGGCAAACTTGGAAGAATTTGCTTGCCAAGCAAAAGAGGAAGCCAGAGAAATTCCTTGCATGTATTTCCACACTTCACATCTCAGGGCAAAAGAAGCCCAGTGTTCACTTTTCTATTTACAAATATGCAATGACAGGCAATGCTCATAATTTTGGAACTGATCTATCAGGCAGTTGTCCTCAGACAGAACTGCATACTTCAAATGATATATGGAGAAAGCAGTTAAAAGCACAAATCATAAATAGCACAGAACAAATTATATAAAACCAGTATTCACTGGCAGTACCTTGTCAAACCACTTAAGCAAATATAATCTTTTCTACTTGTAATCTATTTTCCACAATCACTCAGTGAAACTTTGTTAGTCAAGATCACCATCAAAACTAACCAGTATACAGTTCTTATGGATAGTATCTTCATTATACACCCAAATTACCTTTCACAGTAGTTTATAGCACTACTGAGCATTAATTCTAATCTGTTTTTATGTCTTGTTTTAAAATTTATACATTGAGCTCCAATCCGTGATCTTCTTTTGTGATGGATTAAAAATTCTTCCTCAAATACTTAAAACCACCTACAGGTATTTAAAATTAAAACTTCATTTCTTGGCCCAAAAGCCCACAATTCGCAGTATATATTATGTATAAAATCAGCACTGTACTGAAGGCAGGGAAGACATACTGGGAGATAGTCCAAAATTTTAAAAAAATAAAAATAACAATAATAATGTTATCCTCATAAAGATAGGGTCACTTACATATACAATTATTAACTGCTGACAGGCAAGCGTGTACAATATTTTTTTTCTCCTCTATCCTGTAGTGGAGTTTGATCTCAAACAATTATGAAACATAAATATGTATGTACAAGACATAGCTGGGCAGCACTCTAGCACCTATATTTATTGAGAAAGAAGTTCGAGTGAGCACAGCAGGACTTCTTCCTCATACCCTCAGAAGTGCAAGTCAGCTAACTCATTTAATCCTCACTCCTTTCTTTTTAGGCAATGCAACCGAACCTCCTCTTCTCGATCTTTTCCCTCAATCACAACTCAAACGCCTTCCCCTTCCCGGAATGCCGCGATAGTCCTTGCAATCAAAAGCCTGCGTCCGATACCTGCGAAAGCGACACCAGTCCACAAGCAACCTTCCTTCGCGCCCCTCAGCACACAGCCTCCCCAGGCCATCTGCTCTGCTCCGCTCCCCGCCTCATCAGGCGCCAGAATCGGTGCCCCCATCCCAGCTCGTCGCGCACGCACAGGCTCGCAGAGGCACTCCCGCACCCCAACGTACCTGTGGGGCAGAATTAAGGCGCGCAGGTGGGGGGAAGGGGAGGAGGAGAATCCCCCAGGCTGGAGGCTCCAGGCCCGAGCCACCGAGGGGGTCCAGGTTCGCGACTTTCACCGGAGACCCAGACACTCCTGGCCCTGCCCCGGGTGAGACGGGAGGATGGCGTGAAGGGGGAGGCGGCAGCAGGCCCAGCGGCCCCTCGCCCCACAGGAAAGAGAAAGCCGCAGGTTGCGGGAGGCGGAGGCAGAAGGGAGGGACGGCTGAAGGACCCAGGCACTCCCGCGGGCGAGGGGCAGGGGGAAGGATACCGCGGGCGCCCCCCACCCCGTGGCCGTCACCTTATCCAGCCAGACCTCTCTCTCTCTCTCTCCCTGCCCCCCAGCTTTTCCTCTCAAGAGCTCCGCCTCCCTCACGCAGAACCCGTGACACCGAACCCGGCGGCGACGTCAACGTCACCGCTCAAGCGCGCGCCTTTCCCCTCCCCTTTTCCGACGCCACGGTTTAGAAACAGTGTTTTCAAGAAAGAGGAAGGAATAGCGCGAGGCGAGGAACGGGAAGCCCCTGAGAGCGCCTTGAACTACAACTCCCAGCAGGCCCGGCGAAAGAGCGAAGAATGCTGGAAGTTGTGGTTTAATACCTTGAAGAATAGAGATGCCTAACTCTAGCCAGGAGAATGCGTGGCCTTAATATACATGGGATATTATGTATACATAATGCATAAATGCATATTATATTATGAAATATATAATGTATAAATTATATGGCATAATAAAGCATTCTGCAGTCACGGTTTTCTCTTAATGCGAGCGGCAGTGCTGTGCTTCCTACCGTCTCTAGTAAAAGCTTTGCGTCTTAAGAGTTAACGCACCGATATGCACCTTCCGGGTTCCTCTAGACGGACGGCTCTTGGAGTAATGCCGGTTGAGCTCAAATAATTTTTCTGAGCAAACACCTTTAGTCTCTGAATCTTTATTGGCTTTTCGAGTCAAAATGATCTGAAACACCCCTCTAAGTAATTTCAAACATCTTTTTTCTTCTTCTAAGAAGCGGAGGTCATGAAAACAATAATTTTAAAAATCAATCATTTTAGCATAGCTACTTTGGTCAGTGTTCCCAGCAATATGCCACCTTGACGTAGGGGATGGACTCAGATAATGACATAGTCAAGATCCTGAAGGTTAAGCATATTTCTGTGACAACAGGGATCAGAGTAATGAAAGCAATGGTCTTTCTAGCAGTGATGTCTTCGAATTATGAAAGTCGAGACGGGGTTTAGCGGTATTATGGTCTGCAAAAAGAACTATTCAGTCGGACCTGGACTACTGTAAATAAAAACTCACTGCTCCTTTGAGACAATGAGCAGCAAACAGAACTTCACATATTTCAGACATGAGATGTAAATAGATGCTGAACAGAGAAAAACTATGCTTGGCAAGGCTGAAGGAAGTAGAAGTGGATGACAACAGATAAGTGGATCCCCAGGGTTAAGACCACAGAAATGCCCTTGGAAGAGCTACACTATTACAACAGGTCAAGATGACTAGCATTTATCCCTGCAGTTGTCAAAAGTTGAGCCCGATTCAGTGGTGTTTATCTCTCACACCTGTTTCCAGAGAGGCAGCCATTTTAAGCTTTTGCAGCCAGCGCAAGAATCTTGTGGCATCTTAAAGACTAACATAGATTATTGCCCTTGATTTCCTGAAATGTAGCCCAACATTCCATACCTTTTTCAATGAAAGGATAGCAGCAAATATACAAGTCCATACTTTTTCAAACTGTAATTTTATTACATATAGAAATCCTAGCTTTTAACAAGTACAAGCATATTTTTGTATGTAATGCAACAGTGCACAAAATGTCACATAGGTATCCATTCCTAATTACAATGATGCCAAAATGACAAGTGTTGGGACATTATGCTTCAAGTTCTAGTCCCACCAGATACCCGTGCTTCTTCATACAACTGAGATTCCAGATACAAGATCTGAGGAAGGGTTATTTGAGGGACTGCCTCATTCCAATTACATCTACCCGTCCCATCAGATCCAGCACAGCTCCAGGTCCCATCAGCCAGGAAGTGTCATTGGGTGGGGCCAAGGAAAGGAGTTTTTTCTGTCACCGTGTCCACCCTGTGGAACATCATCCCCCTGGAAATCAGATTGGCCCCGACCCTGCTTGGTCTTGCAAAAGACCCTCATAACATGGCTTTGTCAGCGGCATGGGGACCCAGGAATGTAGTGGAGTCAACAGAATTACTTTATTGAATGCTGTTGGTAGGTGTGATTACCTTGGCTGTGAATTATATGAATTTTTATGATTTTTTAATATTCTTTTGTATTGCCCTTTATTGTTTTAAATTCTTGCAGTTTGTTTTTACATTGTTATAACTGTTTGTAAACTGCCGAAAGTCATATATATATATATGAGATGGGTGGTTATATTGTTAGAATAATTAATAGATAACAAATTAGTCTGACATAAAGGGCATTCATTAGGAATGTATGTAACCTTTTAATTTCAAGTCCATCCTTATTCTGCAATATTAGATTTGATTGCCTGGCTAATCTAAATCACAATCCCAGCAATGGATTATGATGGTGATGACAATCACTGAGGATGGGTTTAAACTAGTCCAGGTTGAACTACACCACCACACCATCTTTCTCAAATAGCAAAAATAAAAGTGGGCATTTAAATGATCCAAACTCTTTAAAATTTGAAATAAGATCTGAACTGTAATGATTTTGATCTGCCATCTTTGTTATTTTGCCTCTGGGTCAGACAGCTTCTGTCCAATGTGGTGGTGGTGGTAGAAGTTTTAAAAGAAAAGTCCACAAGTTCAAAGTGCTATTAAGATTTTCTTTTGATGTATCTTCAGAGCAATAAGAAACTTTTTGGCTCAGCAATCTGACCTAGAAATGGGAGCTTGAATCCAGCTGGCAGCTATCCAGGTGTTGAAAAGGTAAAGCAAAATGCCTATGCTCTAGTGTCTTGCTGATGTTGAGAGATGATGCTATGGGCAAAGTCTCCAATACTGCATGGTCCAGGACAGTTTCTATTTTAGAGTTACATAGCTAACAGGATTTTGATTCCTTGCATTGAAACAACTTCACCAAACTGGTTGCTAAAAATGCAGAGAATTAGTTTCCACCCATGGGCATCCATAAAAAGGGGGGAGGCAAATTATGACACATGTATCATGACATCATAATACAAATGATGTACTGGTGCAGGTACAAAATTGTAGCAATCACATGATGTAATGGCATGTCATTATTTTGACATCGCTATAATTTGTTAAAAATGCTGCTGTCTCCATCTGGAATACGCTATGCTTTGCCTGTATTTGTAACCACAAATTAGGCAGCCATTGTTTAGCTTAGCATGTTGAACAAACGCTGCCCATGAGGTCAACTTATGGTTAAACTGGGTTAATTAGGTAGATGATAGCTAAATTAATCATGGGTGTGTAATACCCAATCATGTATGTTCAATGTACAAAAATAAATGGTATGATTGTTGGAAAAATAAAAGCTAATCACTTTCCACTGTGAAGGGCATTTATCCTGTGTAAAGAACACTAAAACATCCAATAATTGTTTCCTTCCACTTTAATTGTCTCAGTAATGACAAGGAGGAACATATCAGTAAATTGCATATTCCATGGACTTTACATTTCTAAACAAAGTCTGTCAAATTCTCTTCTAGTAATGTTCTAATAAAGATTTTTAAAATACCATGTATAGCAATATAAGCAACATAATAATTATTATCATTATTTATTAAATGTATATGCCACCCAACTCCCAGTGACTCTGGGCAGTTAATTACTAATAATCTTTATATAGTGACAAAGAAGCTTCACACAAAGAGTAGAATCACGTGTAGTTAAAAATTGTCCACTGAAATTCAAAATTATACTTCAAAATGTAGAACTTTGGTTGCATTTCCAGTTCAAGATTTTGCTAGTTATCTTTTTAAAAGTGCAACCAATACTGCTGCAATTATTCCCCTGCTTACAAAGATTATTTTTCCCAGAGTACTAGTTCAGATTTTATTCAAATCCTACCATATATTGTCGAATACTGTAAAGATAGTTGCATAAACATACTTCAGCCCTCTCCCAATTAACTTTAAAGAAGCCTTTTCCAACTTGATCACCTCCATATATGTTAAGACTCCACCTTATTATCCCCAGCCTGACAAGGTATAGCATGCAGTTACGACTCACACTGTTCACATTGAACATGGAAGGCAACTATGAACATAGATACAAATTGCCTATTTCCTTTATAATGAAACTTTAGGCATTCTGATTTTCATTGTTATGGCAAGAGTTATTGATACAAAGCCCTTAGAGTGCCCAGGACAACAAACTGTCATATTCCAGTAGTCATTTCATTACAAAAAAAAATGTGTTTTTATTCTGAGGCAGTGTTTTTTAAAACTGCAGTTAATTGCTGAAAAATAGCATATCCCCAGCGACACAAATAAAATGGGGACAAATCCCATTTCTTTGAATTATAGTTTTGACTTAGGTTTTCCTGAAAGCAAGCTTCTGAGTGCTCTGGCATTATGTCCATCTGGTGCAGGGGGCCAATTGTCATGATCTATAAGAAAAGATAAGAAGACAGTTGCCTCAAAAGGGAAAAGCAATGCTATCTGCTTAAGTTTCAAAGATTTTTTTTCAAAGAAAAAACACTTAATACAAGGCTAAGGAAATGATTTAGGGTCATTTTTATATAATGTCAAAAACAGGAAAAAATGCATATATTTAATTTTCCAGAATATTGTTGTGACAGAATGAATCACTGTCATTTTTTTCTCAATAAAGATAGTAGGTTCAGGCATTGTGCTAAGTCACGATCCTGTTTGCTAGGTTTCAGTTAAGAATGTTGTTTGAATCCAATCACTGAGGTTGGCGCCTTAGCGTACTGTGTTCATCTAGCCAGCTTTGTTTTAACCAGTCAGGGTTAAACAAACCAGGACTTTGCACAATGTGTGAAGCCAAGCTGTAAGTTCTGTGTGAAATATAGGGCTACCTGACAGATAGGATAGTATTTAAGACCGTTATTAGTTATATGAGGGAAGGATGGGACTGATATCAGCTGGGACAATTTGCAGACATCCTTAAAATGTTTTCACATGATGGAAACTTCCCTCAAAAAAATAAAATAAAATAAATAAAATAAAATGGAAACAAATGGCTGTAACACAAGCCAAAGAATAGCTGATTCCAAAATTGAACCAATTAGATGAAAGTTGGCTTGGAGGGAAAATCGAATAAAAGGAAACTCCAACAAATGTGGAGTGACACTACCAGGAGACTTGAGACTAAATGTTGTAGAAAGTAGATGTACCCTAAAAAATAAAACAGAGTTGTGAAAGATGAGAGATTAAATCATTATCAACGTCAGAAGGTAAGCGAAAAGTAATGTAAGGTTTCAACAAGCAAACTCCCATCACAATAATCTAGGCCAGGGTCCTATGACAGAGAGGAGCATTTAACAAGTCAGTCAAATAAAGGGGAAGTAGTCCTTGTGTGCCTGTGCTAAAGAATAATAGCTCTTGCCATTCCAGAAGTCTAAGTGAACCTAGATTCCCTTCATGAGCGGAGTTTAGCCAGGAAAGAAAATAAATTAGAAAGTAACAATTTGGCTTTGAGGGAGCAATTTAGTGTAAAATTCCACAGAGCTGGGGAATGAAATTTGGATTTAAATAAGGCCTGTCAGACTTTCAACTCTTTCACATTCAGTGCACAAGTATTTCCTGAAACAGTAACTAATGACGTATAAACAAATCAACTAATCTTCTTTCTGTGTTCTATTTTGTTCTGTATAAATATATAGGCTACTTGGGGTCTATATAATTATCCCTTTAGGTAACCCCATGGCCCACATCATTATTTTTAAAAATTGTTTATTACTGGCATGAAGAAAATTTGTAATCAACAAATCAGACAGTTGGAAGGGACCATAGAGATCAGTGCAAGATCCTAATGCCTTGATCTGTTACCCACAGGAAATGGAGAGAAATGGGTATTTTCAAAGTCACATTCTTCATATAAGAAGATATATGCCAAGAGTAGGTAGGAAAACAATTAGATGATTCTGTACCTATACCACCATTCATGTAAACATATCAGTAGTTTATCCTGTAGCATGATTATTTTAACATCTCTAACAAGACCTTCCTGGTTTAGCCAATCACGCTGGCAGGAAGACCAAGACTGAACCTACAGGTGGTCCTCAAGTTATGACTGCAATTGGGACCAGGATTGCCATTGCTAAGCAATGCAGTCATAAAGTGTGACGTCACGTGATCACATTGCTTTGTGATGGCAGTCCAGGCAGTCCTAGTTGTCATTGTAACCCAAGACACACAGGTCAGGAAACAGAGGCAGTCCCAGGTAAGGAGTGCAGAGGTGCCCTGTGAGGGTGCTGTGGGCGGGTGGGGGAGGCCCAGCGCAGGCTGCATGCAAGTTGAGGTAGGGGTTCTCAGTGCAGCATGAGTTCAGAAAGGCAGAGGAATGAGGGAGTAGGGTGCATCTGATCACAGGGAGGCCATGGAAAGAAGGTGTAGGGTGCATGCATGCAATCACAGTGAGGCCAGAGAAAGAAGGCACGGGGGTGCATGCATGTATGCAAGCAGAGGGAGGCTATGGAAAGAGGGCACGGGGTACGTGTGTGTGATCACAGAGAGGCCATGGAAAGAGGGCACAAGGTACATGCATGTGTGTGTGCAATTGCAGGGAGGCTGTGGAAAGAGGGTGTGGGTATGTGCGTGCATGTGTATGATCACAGGGCGCACAGTGAAAAGAGGGTGCAGGGTGTGTGCAAGTGAAGGGGGGAAAGAGGGTGCAGTGCGTGTGAGCAAAGAAAGGCAGGGGGAGACTTACCCCAGTGACTTGCGACCTTCCTTGCCAGCTTCCCATTGATGTTGCTTGGGGGAAGCTAGCAGGGAAGGTTGCAAATGGTGACTGTGTGACTGCAGGACATTACAACTGGTCATAAGTGAGAGCTGGTTGCCAGGCACCTGAATTTTGTTCATGTGACCACAAGGGCACTGCAATGGCCAGAACTTTGAAGACCAGTTGTAAGTCCCTTCATTCAGCACCATTTTAACTTCAAACCATCTCTGAACAAATGGTCGTAACTCGAAGACTACCTGTACAAGCTATATGCACCAGCAGAAAACTTGCTCAAAATAAATCCAGATTATGTTGACTTATCTTTCTGTGTGAATGGAGTGTTTAAAGCTTACTGAAGCCTTACGGGCAAATTCAGCATTTAGTAGGCCACGTGAAAGCTTCTGAGTCAGCAATTTTAGCAGGAGAAAGCACATATTCTGGAAAAGTGCAATATGATAATTTCTGGACCAATCTCTTAAATGAAGTAGAATTTGATTAAGATGGAGAAACTTTAAAGATAAAGTAGTTTTTAACATCAGGGCAAAAGCACCAGAAGGAAAGGAAAAGAAAGCAGACATCCTCAGGAGTAAATATTCTGTGGCAGTTTCCATATTTTATCTTATGTCTAGGCCTTCTCTTTTGAAAATAGAACTATTTTAGAATTCTAAAACTGTTAAGTTACTATTTCACCACTATTTTTAAATCATTTTTTTTAACCTGGGATTTTCCAAGAACAGCTATATAGGCTTTGTCCACCATCAATCTTCACAGTTTCTCCAGTTATAAAGGAGGCAGCTGGAGAAAGCAGGAAACACACCAGTGGGGATACCTTAAAAAGGAACAGAATATTGACTGTTATATTGTCCACTATAGCAGAGTCCCTTTCAGACGTGCAGTTCAGATTTCACTTATTCAATTGCTGGATTCACATATTGTGATAAGCTGTAGTTTGGTGGACTGGCTCAGCTTACATATTATGTTAAGGCATAAACCATGGGTTATCTACAAAGGCTGTGCTCACACAACACACAAAGATGAACTAAAGAAACCACAATACAGCTTAGTATAATGGGAGAACCTGCCCAATAAATGTTGAGGGTAAAGTAGCACGTACAATCCAGCTTCTTTCCCTGCAGTCAATGCAGATCCTGATGGATGTCTGCTACATTCATACACTTGGATGTAAGTAAGCATAAGCAGATAGATACTGCAAAGTGCAGGACAAGAATAATATCTACCAGCACCATCTTGCTATCTTTTACATATGTATTTTTTGAGGGTGGAGAGTCCTAGCCACATTCCTGAAAGGGAATGTTAGCTTCATATCCAAAGATAATTTGACTACCAAATTACTGAATCAGTAAATGTTGTTGCTTTCTTCTATGGCTGAGAAAACAAACTATTTAAGTCAAACAGAAGTCAGACTATCTCTGTTGCTTGGCGTCTCTTTTCAGCATAACCATCTTAAGTTGTGTGATTTAGATATTTATGTTTAGGCAATGCTTAGCACATAATTGGTCCTAAATAAAAGACCAAATTTCATATCAACATCACCTACAGGTGTGCGGTGTTTGGGATCGAAAGGGGGAAAAACTGCTTCAGAGCATGCAGGGGTCACATACAGCACCTCTTAGCAATTTGTTACACCATAAGTTTTTTCTCACGATAGCGTGGCTGCTGTGGAAGGCAGCCAGTGATCCCCCCAAAAGATGCAGTAGCTTTATGGAGTTGCTAGCAAGTGCTCAGCAAGCAACCCTGTATGCACTAAAGCACATTTTCCTCTTCAAATCCAAAGAACTACACAGCCCTAATTACCTAGTGATATGCATTTGAGTAGTGGTTAAGGCACCAGGGTAGAAACCAGGAGACTGTGATTACTAGTCCTGCCTTAGGCCCAAAGCCAGCTGGGTGACCTTGGGCCAGTCACTCTCTCAGCCCTAGGAAGCAATGGAAAACCACTTCCAAAATCTTGCCAAGAAAACTGCCAGGAGTCAACACTGACTCAAAGGCACCCCCCCACCTCCAAAAAATGCATTTGCAAATTGCAAATCATTGCCATATTCCATTCCTACCCTACAATATAAGGCTGTGCACTTCTTTTCATGCCCCTACAACAAGATGGCTCAGCTAGGTGGCAGCACTTCGGCTGATCTCAAAAACCAGGTGAGAGCTAAGCATAAGCTGAATTATTGGAAATAAAGCAGTAAAAATAACTCTCTCTCCATTTTCCTTGTTTTGTGTTTTTTAATCTTTGCCTTGCACATTCTCAGTCAGGAAACTGTTTTTTCATTCCTTATTTTTTGATAATCTGGCACTGAGCAAACTTCAAGTCCTTCATTGATATATTGGTCTGTAGAGAGATTCTGGCTAGCCTTTCTCCTTCAAAGACATTTTCCCCTGGAGACTTCATATATTGTCTTCATCAGGAGGCAGCACTTGACTGACTTTGTCTCAGCTTGGAAGCTAAGCAGGTTCAGAATTGGTTAATACTTAGGTGGAAGACCAAAATTTCAGGGCCGTAGGCTAGACTGGGAAGTCTAAAAACATCCCAGAGTTGTACAAAATAAAGGTGGGGTTTACATTTAATTTTAAAAATGGGATAACAAACTACTTCCATACTGTTGCCCCAAAATCCAATAGTTGTCCACATAGTTGTCAGAAGTCAAGTTCAACTTGAAGGAGATTTTTACCTTTTTTATATACAAGATGCCCTTTGGACCAAGCAAAGAAAACACCATTGTGTTTCCTGCTACTAAGCTGTAAGATAAAACTGGTATCTGGAAGGAATTTGCATTTAAGTTTTGTATTCTGAAGCGTCAACAAATATAAAAAAAACCCATGAAGTTTCAGTGCTCCTGATCCTTTATTTCAACTAAAGGACAGAACAGAGTATTGGACTAGTCCACAAAACAAGCTACGCACATCAGCATATCAATCTATCTAGTAGGAAGGTTTTCATAATTAAGGGTTATGCAGCTTTTACCCTGAAGCATAAACAGAGATGGCCAAAGAGAGATGCAATGCTGAATTGTAGAATCCAGAGTCTCATGCCCAATTTCTCCTGCCAAGCCTTCCTTTTTTCTTTATTTTTGCAAAGCATGATTATCTTCCCCCTTTGTGGATAAATGAAGCAGTTCTAGCTATTTTATATATCTGGTATTTTATCTTTTATGACCAATGATAATAGTAAAATAAAATGCTGTGACTTCATAACAGGCTTTTTTCTTTTTTTTTGAGGGGTGTGTGTGTTAATGCCTTCTTCCAGGATGCTTTTTCAACTTCTTAGTCTACCCCTAAAATTGAATGGCGGTCTCACTTCCAAGTACTAGCCAGGTCTAACTCTTACCAGTCAAGGTTAGCTAAGGACTGTCATCTGCTGTGGCAAGAATTGACAAAAATTGGGTGCCCTACCTACATTTTCTGCTATTGCCAAGTAATTCTTGGAAATAATACCCCCCTTTGAAATCTGCTTTAAATATGCATACCCCTGTTGTTGATTTTTAAATTTTTTATCCCATCTTTTTTTTTTATAAATAACTCAAGGCACCGAACATACCTAATACTCCTCCCTCCTCCTATTTTCCCCACAACAATCACCCTGTGAGGTGAGTTGGGCTTAGAGAGAGTGACTGGCCCAAAGTCACCCAGCCAGCTCATGCCTAAGGCAGGACTAGAACTCGTCTCTTTATTTCTAGCCTGGTGCCTTAACCAGTTCCTATATCTTGAAAGACATAGCAATTTTTTTTACACAGTTGTCCCCTTATTCCCCTACTTTAACCTACATCTTGCTAAAAAGATCTTTTCTTCATTCCACTTATCTATCCCAAAATCATACTTCATATTTCATATGCAATTGTCAGATTTCAAATTCATAGCAAATGTTCAATTTCACAGTTCTCTCAAAAATGAAACAAAGAATCTGGATATATCAAGAGTAAAACTAACCATTTAAAGGTGGCTTTCATCAGATAAATACCGACCTTTTGACATCTTTTTCTAAAAGGAACATTTCAGGCTGAATTTAATTTCACTTAATAATTATTCCGCTACTTTGTGTTTTATTTAAAACACATATCTGCTGCAAAGAAGCAGTATATTTTCCAGATAAAAGGAAGCTATACTACTGATTAAATGAGTGTCACTGTTTTTAAAGAATATAAAATGCTGAAGTTCTTTAGAGACCAGGTGCTTCTTTATTGGAGTACCGTATATGAATGTTTCAGGATGGGGATATCTTGTAAAAGAGGAACTGTCATGAATCTATTATAAATATATGTAATGCGAATACTGTACATAGTATATATACCTTCAACAAATCAATGTCCCACCCTTCAGAGAATGCCTTGCTTTAAATGAGAATGGATTTGTATCATGCTGCCAGTTCCTTCTTTTCAATATTGTTCTCCTTAACAAAATATGCACCTTATATCTAAAACAATACTTTATGTAACACACATATAGTAAGACTTCAATTTAATGGCCCATTCAGAGGAAAAAGTATCCATTAAAGATAATATGAATATGCATAAAAAGCCCATCCAGGGAGATCTCCAGACTCAACATTTCTCTGATGTATCTGAGGTGTATTCAATGGTATGCATTAAATCAAGGCTTTATTTTACTCATTGACTAGGTTCACATAATTTGCTTGGTTTTGGTTTCGTGTACTATGTCAATAATTGAGAGTAAATATGTTGTGCAAACCAGAACACTTATTCACAGCAAAACTGGTTTGCACTGAACTATAGTAAAAATGTACTGCTTGAAGAGAAAAAAAATCCAATTTTTAAAAATCAACTGAAACCCCTTAAGGTCAAAATGTAACAGTTAAATCAACATAGTACTATACCTCTTCAGGAAGTCCTAATCTCTTTGTAGGAATATTCTCACTATAGTTTATAAACAATTCTTCACCATCTTTGTAGTTTGCAGCAGCAGTTTCTGAAAATATAACTCCCTGCAGAGAAAGGACAGGTTCACCATTAAGATTCCATTACTGTTTTTCACAGCAATAAAAAGCCCAAGCACTTTTGAGATTCACGATTTATAAACTCTGAATATCAGTAATTAAAAGAAATGACATGGATTTATTTATCAACAAGCAAACTGCACTGGCAAAGGAAGAACAATACACTTCTGAGTAAAGTAAAGTGCTGTTTAACTTAAACTCAGTTCCTGGTGTCTTCCTGGACATATCCATGCAGTTTTCTTCACAAGGAGGTAGCTGTTGCCTTCTTCCAGGTTGGGTTCCCCACCCCCCATCTCAAGTTTAGCCTACAACCTTTGGGATTTCTAGGTAGCCCATCCAAGAATTAACAGAGTCTGATCCTGCTTAGCTTCCAAGCTGAGACAAAGTTTGCTAGGTGCTACCATCTACTGAGAAAACACTAGTTAGTGCAGCCATATTCTCCAAGGATTTTCATACAAAATCTTGGGTGACTTTAAATTTGCTTGTAATTCACTCAATGAAAAGAACTCAGTATATATCACAATTCTAATATCACAAGCTGTGCTTCTGTCTACAAGATTAATTCAGAGGATCTCCATTTCACTGAACAACTGACATCGCCACAATATAACAACAGTATCACAACATGTTTTTGGCTATGAAAATCAGCTTTAATGAGATAAAAATAAAGCAATCTTGTAGCATCATAAAGTTGAATCAGTTTATTATGGCATAGGTTTGCAGAGTCCATTTCATGGTCTGAGGGTGAGAAGAATAATAGAAATAGAGGTCAGAGGTAATTACTTTTACATAATGCCCAAGTATCTATAAGCACATATGCTTTATAAAAAAAATCTCAAGAGTGGTTAAGGGAAAACTGGATTTTAAGTAATCAAGTCCAATGTTTCCCATATTAAAGAAAGCAAAAGTATCATTATGAGCATATGAATAAAAAAGATAAAAATCCTTATGGAGGATTTAAAACCACCAGATCAGGATTTCAAATGCTTATGTATCAATTGTTTTTTCACTTACTTTTATGTTATCATTTTTGCCTAATGAAGAGTCCCAGGGAATTTTAAAAATTGTGTATCATTTTGTGATTTTGAGTTGGAATAATAAAATATTGCCCTAAGGTAAATCCTGAAATGTGCCTTCTTTCTCCTCTACTGAGGAACACAGAAATTATTTTATATTATTGTACCAATAATCAGTATCCTCCATCCCAAGATAGATAGACAGACAGACAGACAGACAGACAGACATATTCTATTTAAGGCTTGAATACTAGGGAAGTGCGCATTTGAGCTTCAAGCTCAAAATAACCCATTTCAAGTTCAAAACATCCCAGCTGTTTGGGCATTTTAGAAGTGTTTTGAATTCTGCTTTGAGCTCCAAACACTTTCCAAATGTTTGAAACAGTTTGTTTCAAAATTGAGCTGGGATGTTTCAAGTTTGAAATGGTGTACACATCTCTATGAAAAACTGTATTCTCCATGACAATTTAACACTGCAATACTAACATAAAATAATTACTATATTTAATAATACCTATAAAGCAACAAAAGGATATCTACACGTTTTATAGAGAACTCTGTAGAGCAATTTCATCCTCAAGCTCCCAATGCTGACACTACAATACTACTGTATACATTCTTCCTCAAAAACTCCATTGAGTTAGGAGTATAGATTACAGCCTACAGTCCCCTTCTCAACCTTTGATGATTTAGCTATAAACATCTTAGCAGTTCCAATAAATATTAGCAGCAAAATCTCCTAACCTGTGAAAAAGTTCCTATCTCCATCCCAGCAAAAATTAGGCAAATAAGAGTGTTATAATCAGCTTGAGCATTTGGTTCCAGTCTCTTGTCCAACCACTTATTTCAAAACCTACCGGGGCAACAGAATTGATCCTAACGCCACTGCATGCCCACTCAATGGCTAAAGTTTTGGTCAGGTTATCAACCGCGGCTCTTGCTGCTCCACTGTGCCTGCAAAGAAAGCAAAAGAAAAGGCCACCTTAACTTCCCCCCACAGATTAACCTAGGCCACACTGATATTAGATGCTGTGATTACGAAATACCTGTAACAATACTTAGCTATCTTAACTGGGTTTAAAGTCCGAGAAGCTATCCTTCTCCCACTAATTTCAATTAATCTTGGTACCACAGGGCAATTGTCATAAATGGTTATCAATTCCCACCCACAGTTTAGCAAGCCAGAGTCAGGATGGTTGAAAACTTCACCTTTTTTGCTTGCTCTAGGATGGTTATTCCATCCTAACTCAAAGCTCATATTATATAAATAGTACCCAATCCACAACTCCAACTATAATAAAATTGCTTGCTCACCTTTATGGATCTCCTAAATACAAATATTTCTGAATGCAGAGATTTTGGGGATATCAGGCATAATTTTCTCTTACAGCTGAGATTGTTCTCAGTTCAGAGTTAGAGGCCAACAGAATATTCTCCCCTTTCACCTTGTGTATGACATGAAACTCCTCCCAGACAAAAAATGTGTGTGTGCATCCGTGTATGTTAATGTTATGCAATCGGGAAGCTGGCAACAATTTCATAATTAGAATTCAATTAACACCGTCCCCGCAGAGGGGTCTATGTAAAGACAAATAATCAATATTTAAACTGGTTGATAATATATTCCAGATTGAAATATCATGTCAATCCATGATATGGTTTCATTTTGAACACGATTTAGCTCCAATGATCATGCACTCGCACAATGTGCAAACCTCAGTCAGAGATTTCTACTATGCGGTCTATTTCCTACATTAACATTCTTTGTTCATGGGTGAATATTCTCTAACAAACCATGATTTGACAAGCAGTTGCTGTGAGCTATTTGTGGGATCTAAGCTCGAGGCTCATAAATATGGACAAAAGTCCTCAATTCTCTAAGATTCCTATTTCCTCAAGAAATATATCTAGAAACAATGAATTAGAACCAGCTATTGTTCCATCTGTGAAGTCAGGAGCTGGCAATCTCTACCCTCTGGGCTGCACATGGTTCTCCAGAACTTTTGGCATAGCCAGTTCTGCTTTTCCTGATCCACCAATGTAGCAGATGCTGTTCATTTCTTCAAAGCTATCTGACATTCTGATTTCTGCACTGAAGAACTATACAGTCACTGGGTTTTGCAGAAACAAGGCCATCAAAAAAAAAAAATTGGCAGGATAAAATACTGATAAAAAAGGGAGCCACATAAGGAACAGATTTAACCTTCCCTGTGTAGCAATTTTAAGCTACAAAAAAATATTGCAGGAAGCAGAGAAGTGTCTGTGTGTCTGTAAATATGTATCTCTGGGCTTAAGTGAAAACAAGCATGTATTTTGATATTGGTAACAGCTTACGAAAAGCCAGGAAACCCTTTCCACATATTAGCCACAATATTGACAATGGCACCTCCATGATCCCGCATCCAAGCATTGTACACTATATAGAAACAGAAGAAAAAGAGCAGTAATTAATACTGTGACATTTTTATTTACATTTTCCTAATAGGTGAACAGAATGCAGTCTCAGTCTGAGTTGGACAAAAAAAATACAAAATCTACAACTAAGCTTATCAATATGATGGGGAGTTGTGTTATATATTTATTTATTTATTATTAAATTTGTATGCTGCCCATCTCCCCCCAACGGGTGACTCTGG